AATTAAAATTAATGTTTCTACAACGATTGTTTATAACTAAAATTAACAAAAATGATAGAAATATTATTGTATTCATAAGACCTCTTTTGATTGCGTTATCTTTTTTATTAATTATTATTATTAAATAAAAGTAAAAATGTATAAAAATTATTGCAATATATTAACTGAATTAAAAGTTATAAGAATTCTTAGAATATGCTGGACCACCGTTAAATATTGTATAGTTAAACTTTTAAGTTCTTAAATTAAAAATAAAATCATTTTGAACAAGTGTGCTATTTGTTGAAAATTAAATTAAATTTAGTATAATATTTAAAATATTTGTTAAGTAAAAAATTTATCATATTTGCTGATGTAGTATTGCAAATTAACGGGTTGCTTTATAAAATTGTTTTTTTTTTTTTTGAAACTCTCACGCGATGGTCAGTGGCGATTGTCGTTTTGGTCGATGCATCGTGTTTACTGTATTATATGTTATATTTGTTGTTTTATACTTTTACTGAATTTAATTGTTGTAATACTATTGTTAAGACAAATTTAGTTAAACACTATTTTTAACTCCTTCCTTTCAACACTATTTAGTCAATTTAATATAAATTATATTAATATGTCCATTACCATATTACATTTTATTCCTCGACCTTTTATAAATTAATTCAATAACTGTATAGAAAAATATTTATATATTAGACCGTTATTTTAACCTATGATACCATGTACAAACTAATAACATGAATGAATATATAAACACAAGCAGTGCTAATGATGCATTGTGTAAGAAACAGATAGTAAAAATATGTTAGGTAAATTAAATACTCTTTTATTAATACTCTTTTTCATAGTTTTGTCAAAAAAGCCGCCAGTAATACGCTCCCGTCCCTAGTGTAGCCTCGGTCCATGTTCTAGTCGGAAATGACCACTGAACACCCTGTCCTCAATGCACTTGCTTAAATGAATTATTAAGATTTAATTTTTATCAATTCTTGATTTCAATGTATTCTTCTTCTTTTTCCTCGCCTTTATACCAACTATTTTGGGTCGGCAAACCTTATCCTTAACTTCCACTTGACATGATCTACGACATCATCTACACTCACATCACCCTTCCTCATGTCATACTCAGTAATATTACTTCATCACTTTTTTGGTCTTCCTCTTCTTCCTTCAACATTAATTTCTATAACTGTTCTTAAAGCTTCCGATTCCTCTCTCCTCGTAACATGACTAAACCATCTAAGTCTATTTTCTCTCATCTTATCAACGCTTGTTTTCAATTTATATATATATATATATATTTATTTATTTATATCTATAGGTGTACAAGTATCTAGTTTATTATAGTCTCTATCTCTTTACTCTGAACCCTCAAGCCATATGCCCATGTGCATATGTATATTATTAAATTTATTTTTAACTGTAGTAAATCTAACCCTCCCCATTAAATTCGTCAATTTTATTTTTTTCTTATTTTTGATTTACTATAAAAGTGTGACGTATGAAACATACTATCTCTAATTTTGCAATAAGAAAATCAGATAGAAAAAATTATTCATATTATTAATACAACAAATTATTGTATTAATTATTTCTATATTGTAAACTGTGTCAAAATTCTCTAATTATTTTAATTAAAAAATCATTTTAAAGGTTATTCAAATGTTATATTCATTTGATCTGATATAATTTTTGTTTTTTAGCTTCGATGCGAAGCGGAGAAGGTATTAATTTTACTATGATGTGTTTTTTTTTTTTTTTTTTTTTTTTTTTTTTTTTTTTTTGTT